AGCGGCGGGCGCCACGTCGAAACGGCCGCTTTGAAATTGCTCGGGCCTGTGCGAAACCCGCCACCTCAAAAACCTGCAGTGTCTTGTGTCTGGACGTCTAGGCCATGTCCGGTGGGGTGAAAGGACGCTTAAAAATCACCCCGTTATTTTTCAAGGGGCGGCTAGGACCCGACAAACATCCTGGAGCCGCCCCTTTTTTTTTTTTTTTCTTTTGCCCCTGGGGCCTCCATCCAGACATGGGGACCGGACACCGGACACCAGGCACCGGACACCGGACTGTCTGGAACCCAGTCCGGACGTCCGGACGGTTACCATGAAAAGAAGAAAGCCTTATACTAGTGTGCTTATAGGTTATAGCGCATTCTTAGGAGGTTTCGAGTTTGGCTGTGAACAAAACACTGTGAAGGAAAAAGAGGGAGTGGCGTGGGAGCTCCTCCTCACCTGCTGGAAAGCGTAAACCAAGAGGAAGGACATCCACCACCAGTCCCTCTTGAAGGTCTTTCTTAGGTCGTTATATCTCCAGTCTTCTCGAACTCCCAGCTTCCATCCCTCTCGACGTAGATAGGAATGCGTTAAGCGCAAACTCCATAGCCAGACGAGTATCAACACCAGGCAAGCGCGCGTTGGATTGGCGACAGCGGCGGGGTGGGCTGCGAAGAAGTGTGCCATCATGACTGGAATGATCGTCCAGTAAAGATCAATCAGCTGTTTCAGAGTTCAGAACACCAGCAAAGAGAAGGCCATTGCCATTAGGATAGGATAGGATAGGATAGAGGCTCAGTTGGCACACCCATGGACTGTTGAAATATAGACCTCAGTTCGAATCTCAATGAATGCAAATGAGTCAGCTGTGTTTCAGAGTTCAGACCACCACCCAAGAGCCGAGGAGAAGGCCTTTGCAGTTAGGATAGGATAGGATAGGATAGGTCATGTCCATAAGGAGGGGGGGGGGGGGGGGGGGGGGAGGGAATGACAAAAAAAAAGAAGCAAACGTATTCCTCAAAGTCTGTCCTTCGTGACAAGAGCGAGAGAGGCCTTTTCCGCCCCCCCCCGCCACCCTTCCTCTTTAGCATGCTGTACAGCAGGGAAAGTCATCACGGACATAATATGAGGACAACAATAGCCACAACCACGAAGTGATGAGGACAACAACAATAGCCACAAGTCCTTCGGGACATCTATCCGTTAAAAGGATTGGAACGATACAGAGAAAGAAGATTAGCATGGCCCCTGCCTGCACAAGGATGACACGCATAAATCGAGAAATCGTCCAAATTGACAAAACGAAACAAAACAAAAAGAAAACCACAATGTGATGAGGACAACAACTGCCACAACAACAAAGTGATGAGGACAACAATAGCCACAAAGAATCATCACAATTAGAAAGCTGCTGCTCAATGACACACCGAAAGACTTTCTTTACGTTGCGTTGCTTTGTGTTGCGCTGCATTTGTCTCGTTGATTGCCGTTGTGTTGCCCTGCGTTTGCTGCATTTGCACTACGTTGTGCTGCATTGCGTTTGCATTGCGTTTGCATTACGTTGTGCTGCGTTGCGTTTGTGTTGCATTGCGTTTGTGTCGCGTTGCGTTGCATTGTGTTGTGCTGCATTGCATTGCATTTGCGTTGTGCTGCGTTTGCATTTGCGTTACGTTGTGCTGCGTTGCGTTTGCACTGCATTTGCATTACGTTGTGCTGCGTTGCGTTTGTGTTGCATTGCGTTTGTGTCGCGTTGCGTTGCATTGTGTTGTGCTGCATTGCATTGCGTTTGCATTGTGCTGTGTTTGCATTTACGTTACGTTGTGCTGTGTTGCATTTGCATTGCGTTTGCATTGCATTGCGTTTGTGTTGCATTGCGTTGTGTTGGCCCCAACACAATGCAAACGCGCAACGCAATGCAATGTGACACTGCTCAATGACACAATGCAACGCAATGCAAATGTTGCTGCGTTGCATTTGCATTGCGTTTGCGTTGCGTTGCACTGCGTTTCCGTCGCGTTGCGTTAGCGTTGCATTGCGTTTCCGTCGCGTTGCATTTGCGTTGCATTGCATTTCCTTCGCGTTGCGTTTGCGTTGTGTTGGCCCCAACACAATGCAAACGTGCAACGCAATGCAATGTGACACTGCTGAATGACACAATGCAGCGCAACACATTTGCATTGCGTTGGGGCCATTGTCATACATGGCCACCGTGGGTCCTTTCTGCTGTGCTCTTTTTTGTTCTTCTTTTTTTTTGTGATCTTCGTTTTTCTCTCACTTTCAGTTTCTGTTTGTTCACCCTTCGCAGCTCTTCTTTCAGTGCAGATACAGCGATACTGACCGTGGGTTCTATTCGGGGAAAGACGGTGGCGTTGTTTGATTAGTCAAGCTCCCAATTTTTATTTTTTTGGAAAATTTTATTCGGAACTTGATTGATCAAACTACTACCGTCTTCCCCTGAATAGAACGCACGGTCAGTATCGCTGTATCTGGACTGAAAGCTATTCCATATTCGGCCGAAGATACAAGTTCGTTCATTCATTGCTGATAGGGGATCCACTTGGACCGTTAATTTGTTACTACTACCTTTTCCACCCGAATACAACGTACAGGTCCATTTTTTTTAGGCTGCACTTTGGGTAACTTTCAGTCTAAATACATCTTTTTAGGCTGCATTTTAGGCTGCAATAATGACCGTACGTTGTATTGGCGTCACGAAGGTAGTGTGTTTGCTGTTTTCGATTGATGGATTGCTTTTCCATTGGTGAAATTTGTGACAATCGCAGGTTCAGATCGTTGATTTAATTTTTAATTACACAGACAAGTCACTGTCTGTTTTTTTTTTTCCCTTTCTCTTTCTTTTTTTTACACGCCCAAAAAAAACAATTGAATGCTACCAAGGTAGCCTCCGATTGGTTGACTACCTAATTTAGTATATCCTGTAGTGCGGAATCTGCAGATTCTTCTTCTTCTTCTTCTTCTCTTCGTCGTTGTCGTCTTCTTATTCGTTTTCTTCGTTTTCTTCTTCTTCTTCTTCTTCTTCTTCTTCTTTTTCTTCTTCTTAGCCACGAACCACAACCAAGTGTAATGCCCCCCCACACACACGTCTTCTTCTTCTTCTTCTTCTTCTTCTTCTTCTTCGTTGAACAAACTTGAAACACATTTTGCTCAGCAAGTTCAGCAAAGCAAAGCAGAGTATTCTTTTCTTTTTTTTTTTTTCTTTTTTTTTTTTAGCAGAGTATCCTTC